GACCCCGTTACACAAACGATGGGTTGGCAAAGATCAAGCAATTTAATTAGCTCTAGAATGTTTTTTTCGATTTTCGATATTGTGCGAGCCGAATATCCTTAAACTCGCTGATATAGCTGTTGATTCTCAACAGCAAGTATGATCCCCGCAAAGGCATGAAATAAACCACGTAGCTTGCAGCTGCCATCTTGCTCCTGACTGAATGCCATAATCCTCAACTTTATACTGATTGCGTGACTGCTGCGATTGGTCGAAATGCAGCATACTTTGGCCCTCTAAAAAGACTTATTTGCTGAAATCAAGATGAAAGCATGTTTGGCAAAAATGCTATCCAGGGGGCATGCTAAAATAAAACTGTAGTGCAACGCGGTATCTTGTCGCTTTAATGTAGTGAGCACAGCTACAGGGGATGTGTTTTGTTCGGATCAGGAAGCCATGACTTTCTAACGACGGGATTAATCGAGTAAACAAGCTAAGTAGCCATCGATCTGTCTTATTTCGCCAGTAAAGTAAAATTTCATCAAGGCCGGTCGATAGTAATTACGGAAAATGCGAGCAGACACATGATACCCGTAATGAAAAATTATCTAGCGACCATGACACAAAACTTCAGTAGGTGGCGCAGCAAAAATTACGATGATTCAAAATAGAATACGCTAGATTAAGCAAACAGCCACAATGGCATACAAGTGATCGAACAGCAAACTTTTGGTGTCCACAAATTGAAAATAGTGATAACTAATAACTTCGACCATTCGTTTTGTTGAAGTACCTAATCTTTGTGAGCCACTTAAATTAATAACTCCGTGATTGTAGCGACTATGGTTGTGATGGCGAACAATGTAATACTCAGGATATTCGACTTACAATATTCAACGGATGAAGGTCATCGACAAAATCAACGAAAGCATTGAGCGCCAAGAAGTTTTCTACTCGTTCGAGTTTTTCCCACCAAAGACGCTTGCGGGCGTGGATAATCTTTACGCACGCATGGACCGCATGGCAGCACTGGAGCCGCTTTTCTGCGATATGACATGGGGCGCTGGCGGCTCCAGTGCGCGGCTCACACTGGAGCTTAGTGCCAATGCGCAAAAGCTTAGTGGCTTAGAAATGCTCATGCACATGACTTGCACCAACATGACCGAGGCTGACATCAAGAAGGCGCTCAACCAGGCCAAGGATGCTGGCATTCAAAACATCCTCGCGCTGCGTGGAGATCCCGTGCGGGGGGCGACTAGCTTCGACGAGTGCGATCGCGGCTTCTCTCACGCGATTGATCTCGTGAGGTTCATTCGCAAGACTTATGGTGATTACTTTTGCATTGGCGTGGCAGGATATCCTGAAGGTCACACGGAAAGTACGGACAAGAAGACTGACACCCAATATCTTAAAGAGAAGGTTGATGCTGGTGCCGATTTTGTCATCACTCAATTTTTTTATGACGTGCAGATTTTTGTGAAGTTTGTGGAAGAGTGCTGTGCCATCGGTATCACTGTACCCATAATTCCCGGGATTATGCCGATTCAAAATTATGGTGGCTTTGAGCGCATGACGTCCTTTTGCAACATCAAGGTGCCAGACGCAGTGCGCAGATCCTTGGATCCCATCAAAGACAATGACGAAGCAGTAAAGAATTTTGGTGTTCAGCTTAGCATTACGATGAGCCAGCAGTTGATTGATGCTGGCGTGCCGGGCCTGCACTTCTATACGCTTAACTTGGAGCGTTCCGTGCGTCGCATTCTGGAAGGACTGTCATCATTATCCAGCCGCGTCCCGCGTCGTGAGTTGCCGTGGAAGATATCCACGCTCTCCAAGCGTGCGTCAGAGAGTGTGCGCCCGATCTATTGGTCTAATCGGCCTAAAAGCTACGTGCATCGCACCGCCATGTGGGACGAATATCCGAATGGCCGCTGGGGTAACAGCGAAAGTCCAGCTTTCGGTGAGCTCACGGAATCGCATTTTGCGCCTTCGGGTACGTCAACGCTGAAAGAGCGTCGCGCCATGTGGGGGGATACTCCGGCCACCAAGGAAGACATTCACCATACTTTTGTGAGATATGTACGTGGTGAAATCTCGAGTCTACCATGGTGCGACGCTGCACTGCACGCCGAGACGTCAACTATACAGCAGGAGTTAGCCTCTGCTAACTCTGCTGGTTTCTTAACGATTAACAGCCAGCCACGTGTGAATGGAGTGGCTTCGGACGATCCGATATTCGGTTGGGGAGGGCCCGGAGGTCGCGTGTACCAAAAGGCGTACGTCGAGTGCTTCGTGTCGCCTGAGAATATGAAAATTGTAATCGAAAATTCAGCCAAGAAGCCTTCGGTGCAGTATCATGCCGTGAATTTGCATGGTCACTCATACTCGAATGCCAGTAAATCGGCTGTGGCCGTGACGTGGGGTGTTTTCCCGAATAAAGAGATTCTGCAGCCTACGATTGTAGATAGTAGCAGCTTTTTAGTGTGGAAAGACGAGGCATTTGCGTTGTGGATTAAGATGTGGGCATCATTGTATGCAGAGAGCAGCCAGTCGGAGAAACTGTTGAACGAGATATACAGCACATACTTCCTGGTGAGCATCGTAGACAATGATTTTATAAACGGCAACATTTGGGAATTGTTTGAAGCATCGGTGTCCCCTGCCACCTTGCTGTGATTCGAAGAAGAAAGAAAGAGGCAGGTCTTGAAAAGATTGTCCTCCCAGTCGCAAGAGATTCTTCGAAAAAGATTGCAGTGTCACTGGGACGATAAGGCTTGGCTGTGCAAGTTGCACGAAACTAGCTGAAGTGGTCATTATACGACCGAAGGAGGAGCAAAAAGGTCTTAGAATTATAAACTGCTTAACAACATAACACCATTTCGTCCACCTTTCATCTTTAACAAAATTACTGATACAAAATAGCAATTTTCAAAGATGGCGAGCGACGTACCCAGCGTTTGCGTGCGTGAGCTCTATGGCCATCACGGACCCGTAAATGCCGTGCGCTTTAACTGTATGAGTTTGATCAAAGTTCTACTGCATCCTCTTTACTTTTGATGTATTGCAGCCAAGGGTACGTATGTGATGACTTGTGGCCAGGACAAAACGGTGAAGCTATGGAACCCGCATCGTGACGACTTGGAAAATCCACATAACGCACTTTTGATCCAGACGTACAAAGGTAGACACGGATACGACGTGCAAGATGTTACGATGTAAGCCAAAAATGCACAGAGTAGTTGACTTGCAAAGTTGACAACTGATTGCGATGTATACGGTGTACTTCAAAAGAGCTCACGACAATTCCAAATTTGCATCGTGCGGTCGAGACCGAGACATTTTTATGTGGGACGTGCCTACTGCTCATGTTACTCGCAAGTTTGAAGGCCACGAGCATGTATTTGGGTTTGTCCGTGAGAATTTGTAAGTGTGGGTCCATGTTGACAAAAGTGATTTGTGGTAGAGCGTTAACTGCGTGCGTTACAACGCCGATTCATCCGTATTGCTGAGTGGTTCCTATGACAAGACGATTCGAGCTTGGGATATCAGGTGAAATGCTTTTGTTTTCGGGAGAGTTATGGTTTGCTTACTACCCCTGCTCAATAAGGGCACGTAACGCATTCACACCGATTCAAGTAATGGACGATTTTAAAGATAGTGTCACATCATTGGTCGTCACGGATTATGAAATCGTTGCAGGGTAAGAAGCTTTCTGTAAACAAGCATGAAAAATATCGTCACGCTGCATTGCAGGTGCGTTGATGGGACAGTGCGTACGTACGACCTTCGCGCTGGTCAGCTCTTCTGCGACCATATTGACGGTAACTCGATAAATGCTGTAATTTGTTCGTCTTACAAGCTTCTTTGCTGATATGTCAAATTGTTCTGATTTGATAAAGAGCCTGTAGTGTCGATCGCCCAATCCCCTGACGCGCGTTTCATGATTGCTGGATGTCTTGACGGCTCCATCCGGCTGATTGAAAAAGCCAACGGTACAGAAATCAAAAGGTAAGACAGCGTAGTAGGTTTTAGTATTTAAGTTTGCTCATTTAGTGATGATGTCAATCAAGCTATCGTGGGCATATCGTGCAGAGCTACAAAATCGAGTGTGACTTCTCGAGCGACGGAGCGTATGTGCTTAGTGGTTCTGAAAATGGAAAAATATACTGGTGGAATCTTGTGGATGCGAAGAATGCGCATACAGTTATTGCACATTGCAAACCGGTCCGGGTACTCGAGTGCCATCCGGAGAGTAGCATGTTTGCTACAGGCTGTATTGACGGCTCCGCAAAGGTTTGGTCCCATTAATGCTATTGAAATTACATGACCCCACGCTAGTTTTTCCTCTTGAAATGTATCTGAGTTTCATGATAGCGTGTAGCGCATTCCACCAACTGTCATGAGCAGATCATTTGCACTCGCCTTTTTATTTTTACTCTTCGTAAAAAGAGATGCAAACACTTGACTTTTCTCTTTGGCTTCATAAATGGATTTACTGGCGTCTTCGGCAATCTTGACGAGCCGCACATCCTTTGTTTCTGACAATTTTTTCGCTATTCTTCTCCGCTTCTTTCCCTCCTGTGTTTTTGTATGCTCGTGATCACCGTATTCCTTATATTTTTCTTGTGTTGGTTTGTTGTTCTTTTTACCCCGTTTTTCAGCTGCTTTGACCTCTAATAGTTTCTTCTGCTTCGCCTCGTAATGCTCATCATTCAAACTTAGCATCACAATGTCCTGCTTTCCGAATGTTTTACCGCACACAAGACACTCTTCCGTACTTATTGTTTTAAGCGCCCGCTCCGACAGCACACATCCACAAGTAAATATCACTGCAAAGGGCTGCTTACCATTAAATTCAATCATTGTGACGGGGCAGCACCAGAGTGCGTTCTCTTCTTCCTTGTCGTACATCACACGGCAAGTGACGACATCTTTGATAGATGTGATGTGGCAGAACCTTTCGGGAATCGACTTGGCAAGCAAATTTTCTAGCAGTGCCTGTTTATTAAACAAATTACCAAGACGACATGCTACTACGGGCTCACGTAACTGCTCTGAGGACAGAGCACAAGTACGCGACTTCTCTAATCGGAGCACTTCCTGTTCAGCCTGCTCTCCACGCGACTTGACATTCGCGTGGCGCATAAACTTTCGCTTCACGGCGATCACACCGCCGTCGTTTCCCATGCTTGTGTAAAGGAAGTCTGGTATATAGCAAAACTTGAAAATCAAATGAAAAAATCACAACTATTCTTTGTTAGCAAAACCTATGTAAATTTCTCTTTGATACTGAAATTTTGTATACCAACTTAGTAAAGTAGGCTTCCCAGGATTTTGATAACATGCGCGCACTCTTAAATACGGGTTTGACAAGTTTGACATGTTATTGATCAATAACGAAGTGTTGCTGCAATGAGCTTTGTAAGACTGCCGTTCGAAAAAGGTACGAGGGGAGCCATCCTATGTAAGAATTTGGGCGATGCAACTCTTGATAAATTATACACTGTGCTCTCAGCTTCCATTTGTACATGTGCACCACATTGAAAAAGGTTTAGTAACAAAACATTTAAGTTGTGATAAAACTAGCTATGTTAGGTTCTGGTGCATCAGCAAATGCACGTTACATACATTGTGTCAGATTTTACCTAACATTACACTGTTTGCACTTCTAGAAGTAATGCAAGAGTTTGCGGAGTTCAGTAACTTCTGAGGCTACCAGACATTGACTTTATTACAGGGTGATTACGATATTTATGGCTTTGTGGCAAGGTCAGTTGTAGATACGCAAAACTTCTCTATGTCGTTTGTCGTTCAACACACAGTTTGAAGTTCTAGGATGAAAATTATTAGATTGCAAAAATACGTCAGCTCTGTGCTTCAAACTCACTTTGTGGAAGCTGTTTCGCAGGCAAAGCGAAAGGTAAACCAGATAACCCTGAGTTTTTGTACTCCACAGATTATACTCTACTAGCAAAATTGCTACACGCTGTTTTAATTTAAACATAACTCAATAGGAGACTACGCAACCAGGTGATCAACTTCTGATAAATAGAATTGGCCGCTTCAGCAATAGCGAAACTTAAAGATATTTCTCTTCAATTTTGCAGTGTGTGGTATACGTCGTAACTGGGGAGGGTGCAAGCAGCAATCGTGTCTACTTTATGCTTACACATTTGCACGATTGTATTGGATACAACACGGTAAATTTGTACAAAATTATTCAGGGATTGTGAATATTATCCGGGGATATACAAACATTATTTGGAGCTCCGACGGTATGAGAGCGTTAGAAAAGGAAGACATTGTTAATACCGGAAATAGGTATAATGGGTAATTGTCGGAATAGAATAGATATCAAAATCTGTAATTTTTGAATACTTATAAATTAACAGATTTTCCCAGTTAGAGTCCAGTCCCGAATAGAGCCCTCAAAAATACAATATCCACTACCCCGCTATGATGACTTCAGATGACCTGACAAAAATCAGGGAAGAATAGTATGGACGATTGCCACCACAGAAATTTCAACATTTTTTTGTCATCGACTTGTGGCACCCTGCCACCACTGACAGGTATGGCGGAACGGCGCAA